GAGCCCGCCGCAGGCCTGGGCCGGGCTGCTCTCGGCCTCGGTCGCAGCAGCGCGCGTTTAATTCACCGCAAAAGCTTATTGTGCTTTTAAGGAGGTTGGTAGTGGGAAGCTTTCCGTAGGTGCGAAAAACTAGGTGGTGAAACCTGGATTGTGGTCAAACAGCGAACAGGCTTCATCTAGTCTTTTATCGTATATGGACGTTTCTGCTGGTTCTTAATCTTTCTGAATCACTTTCACTTGCGCAGGGGGGAAAAAAAAAGCTCCTGGTAAACACAGAGAGTTTTGTGTATTTTCAGAAAACTGATATAAAAAGAAGTTGGCAGATTGGTTTACAGAGTATGATTAATTCAGAATGAGTTACTTTATTTTGCATACATTGTTTACAGATTTTTATCATACCGAGAGAACTGTGTACTAAAAGATTTGTGAGAACATTTGACATTTTGGAGTCGATGACTGAAAGATTTAAAACATAGAAATTAAGGTTATGTATGCACACTAAATTCTGCTTCCTTGTGTTGCAATAGACTTTGCGAATTGATCATGTAGGTCTTTGCTCTCTGATTGACACTTTAAACAAGCAGAACTGGATCCTAAACAGATCTTAAAGTCTACAGCTTTTTCAAATTTGGGTGCACTTTCAAAAGAACAACAAAAGGTGTGATCTTGGAATGGTGCCACACTAAATTTCACAACTGTCTCAGAAATGATAGCGTTTTTCTCGTGTGTGTGTTTTTTTCCCCTAATAGCTTAGAAAAACGTGTTTTGTTTCTGTATCTCATTTTGGAAACAACTGAACTCTCCGAGGATTTAATTATGACTGACTCTCAAAATGGAAAAATTTCCAGATAGTTAGTGAAAGTTTAGTGAAATTTATGTGCAACTGCAAATGTCTAATATTCAGAATTAACTGTAGGTGGTTCTGTTTGTATTATGCCACGATTCAACTGTTATTTTAAAATACTGCTTTCCATTGCATCGACATTGTTAAGACCAAGATAATTTTTTGTTATCTTGTTCTACAGATGTTAGACTAAACAAGGCCATTTCTAGATGCTGTCAAAAATCAAGAGTCAGTGTCTAGGTTTGAAAATATATTTTCTTGATTGTAATTTTTTTGTGGTAACAGTAATTGTTTTTCAATGGTAGTAGTATCTAACAGCAGTAACTATTTTCTTTCTAGTGTACAGAAGCATGTTTTTACCAAGATCTCTTAAATTCAAGAGGAGTGCTGTTGAAGATGAAAGTACAGCTAAGAAAAATAAATTATCTTCTGGAGAATCTTTGTTAGAGGAGACCCCAGAGGTCCAAGATTGTAAGCCAGTTACAAAAGAAACTTGCGCTTCAGGAGGTGGTTTGAATGAACTTCTACAAGAATGCGCAGAACCTGTAGCTAGTCCATCAGATCTTGGTGCTGCTAGTACATCTTTGAGCAAGGACAACCAAAATACTGATGAAGACAGCTCTTTGGAAGAACCCATAAAATCCTTCAGCAAATCGCAGCGCTGGGCAGCACCTGGGGAACCTGTATGTGTTGTCTGTGGTCGTTATGGGGAGTATATCTGTGATAAAACAGAGGAAGATGTGTGTAGCTTGGAATGCAAAGCGAAACACCTTTTACAAGCTCAAGAAAAGGAAAAAAACCTAAAATCCGACCAACTCGCAAAAGCAGAATCTCAAGCAGAAACTCTCCAGCTTGATACATCGTATTCCTATAAAGATCACTCCTTTATTTTAGGTTTGAAAGATGAGCAGGTTAAGAACCTTAAATTGCAATTAGGTATTGCTGTCCTGGGCCAGCAAGTTCCAAGACCTATTATAGAGTTTGAACACTGTGGTTTTCCTGAAACTTTAAACCATAATTTAAAGAATTCTGGCTATGAAGTTCCTACCCCCATCCAAATGCAAATGATTCCTGTTGGCCTATTGGGAAAGGATATTTTGGCTAGTGCAGACACTGGCTCAGGAAAAACAGCAGCCTTCCTGCTCCCAGTTATTATGAAGGTTTTAAAAGAGGTAATCAAACTTTGTTTCTTTTGAGAAAGTGGTTTGTAACTTTGTCTCCAGGCTTCTCAGGGTAATTGAGAATGTAATTGCAGTGGTTTCTATTGAAATTCAATGATTTATTTTATTTTGATTGATGTGCGTTGTTATTTTGAGGGGAGGGTTGTTGGTTAATGACTCTGAATGTTTTTTCACTCCATGGTCAGGAAATAAAGTATCTCCATTAACATTTCTTAACAGGCAGAAACTGTGTATCAGGTAAAGTAACTAAACTCTGCTAAATGTCTTAATTGACCTAAACTAGAAAGTGAAAATAATTACAGGCATTCTGTAGGTAGCTGCTGCTATCTCTTGATGGATCAGATGGCTGAAAGAGATTTTTTGACATGTGCATGATTTCACAGACAAATGAATGTTGGTATATGTTCAGCAGACCATCAAATAATTAGAGGAATTCAGGTCTGTCAGATCTACTAGTTCTTAAAACAGCTTCCCACAGTCTCAAAGGGGGGAATCAATTAACAAAACTTCTACTTCAAAAGGATGCGAGTGTATAATGAGGAAATAATGGCATGGTATTCTATACCATGTGCATGATTTAGTATTGCTTTAATATTTTTATTCAGAGGAAGAACAAGAGTATCTTTGGAAATTCTAGACCTGATTCTCACTGATGCTTTGGACGGTTTAGATGCCTTTATATATAATGTGTGTGTGTGTGTGTGTATATATATATATATATAAATATAAAATGAATTATTTAAAGATTATTTAATTAACTCTTTTAATCTTCAAAGTACTATAGCATTAGTTTTAGGAATGGGAGCATTATGATTAAAGTCTGCAAGAATGGTTATGTGCTTATAATAACATGCACAAAATAAGGGCCTCAGTGAATTATACTTCACCTTAATTTCTCTACCTGCTGTTCTGTTCTCTTCATCTTCAGGGTACTTTACAAGTTGATGTATATTTCAAGATGGGAGGTTTTTTTGTTGTTTAAAATAATTTCAGTTTAAAAGAGAGCTGAGACATTAATCTGAGGATGAAATAATATTTGACAGTTCTTGGCTTCTTATCGTTCACTTGGATACCTTTTTTTGTGTGTATGAGTGTGGTAAGTTAAGCTGAACACTGTTGCCTAACTAAAAGGAGCTGAAAAAGCCCTTTTTGGGACAATGCTTAGCTGTGCACTTCCTATGATGATGCAATAGCAAAGGAACAACCTCCTCCTGCTGATCATATCTAAATATTCCCATTGAAGAACAGAAAGAAACAGATACCATCCAGACAGCTATTAAGTAAAATTGTGGTTGTAGTATCGATTTATGGGAGAGCTTTGTTATTTGTTGAACAGGGTGTTTTAAATGATTTATGATCAGTATTGCTGAAATAGCTTGTCCCAAAGCAAGACCATTGTTCTGCCATTTTTCTGTTTTACCTTATGCTCTTTTTACTTTGTTGCTATGTGTTAACTGGAATTGGGAAACGGTATTAAGAAAAGTGGTTTTGTTACTGTGAATGTGAAATAGAATTTTTACTTGATTAGCTTTGTCACTGTTGAAGTATGACCTGTAGGATTTTTCCTTTTTGTTTTTGTAAATGCAAATTTTTATAATTTTCCAGTTCTATGGAATTCTGGTGTTTTTCTTAATCTGAGAGGAACTTTTATTCTGTAAGTTTGTGTTTTCTGGAGTTGCCGAAGTATCACTGAGGTGATAATTTGGCCAAAGATTTTTATATATGGACTAAAGATATTTTTTAAGACTATACTACTTCTGTATTTCATCTATACTTGCCTGACTGAGAGTAGGTCAGAAGGTTATTGGCTTTGTTTTTACATTTTTAGAGGCATATGGGTTTGCTGTGTAAAATTACTATTGCTACTTCTCTGCCATACGCTTAATGTTTATACTTACTCAAAGTGATGTGTGGAACAGTAAAGGGAAATATCCAGTGCCTGTAATGTCCTGACTTGAAAAAACTTTTTTTAAGGTTTCTCTAGATTCAGATAGCATCCTGTGTGTTGAGTTCTTGTGAAATTTATTAGGAATTACTGCTGTAAATTCAATGCAATAACTGAAATAGAAGAAAGTGATCTTTTTACAGAGAGTTCCATGCTTTGTGTGTTTTTTTTTCTTTTTGTTTGTTTGTTTTTGTTAAACTGTCGGGAAGCTATTTTAACACTGTACTTACAAATGCATTAATTCTTGTTTTCAAAAGTTGAGTAACTGAGGGATTGACTTTCTTGGTATGCACTGTTACAGGTAGAATCCCTTCCTACTTTCTGTCTTCAGTTCAGATAGAGAGGGTATTAGCAGTCTAACTGCATTCACACTAGCTGCACTACCTGTTTTGTATTTTAGTGTTGGGAGATTTAACCTTGAAAGATTTTAACCTAAATAAGAAAGCAAATTTATGTTCAACAGTTTCTTTTTGTTTGTTTTTTTCTAGACTGAAACTCCATCTGCGCTTATTTTAGCACCAACAAGAGAATTAGCAATTCAGATAGAGAGACAAGCGAAAGAACTGATGGCTGGTTTACCAAACATGAGAACAGTCCTCCTGGTAGGAGGATTACCACTGCCACCACAGCTTCACCGTCTCAAACAAAATGTTAAGGTAAGGACTGAAGTGTAGAAAGACCCTCTGAAGAGTTATATTTTAATAATATTTACAGAAAAGAAAAGTGTTACTTTTGACGCGCATGGGTGCAAAAAGAAATGGAGTTGTTCGTAAGTCTACACTATCAGAAATAATTGTTAGCTCCTGAAAATTTTACAGTATTTTTTAAATGTCAGCTTTATTTTTGAAAGGGTTTCTTTTCATGAATAATACTACCGCTTTCAAAGAGTGAAATATACCATTTTATTAGATAAGGAATTGTAACTTACAATTCCTTCTTTTTACAAAAAGTTATTTTTTTAATGCAGATCGTATTGCTGATATTTAGAAATTTCCATTAGAGTACTAAAAAGTTCATTTCCTTTTGAGGCTTCATAATGTATTAAGTTACCTGCAGAGGTTTCAAGACTCTAACTTGAACGTAAATAATTTCACTATTTATTGCCTTTCTCACAAATGTGCTTAACCTTACTGTTTTTCTAGGATAGTCGTCTTTCCTTTCATGGACTTGTTAATGCCTGTTATTTTTGTTGTCTTTTGTTAGGTTATAATAGCAACACCTGGAAGACTTCTAGAGATTTTAAAGCAAAGTTCTGTTCAACTTCATGGCATAAAAATTGTAGTAGTGGATGAAGTAAGTTTTCAGTTATTGGGGCTGCATTGTCTATAGAGGGGTTATTGAAGGCCCAGTGTGGGTGCCTAGTAACACTGATTAAGTATATCATAAAGATGAAATATACTTCTTAGTGTTAAAAATTGAAATTTTCTGTTATGTGAAATGTGTTTGAACAATGTGTGCATTATTGGTTATAAAAGACTTGCATACCTGACAGCTAGAGGAATACTATTAGACCAGAGTGAACCAGTTGATTTTCATTTTCTCATTTGGATTTTCTTCTAAAAATAGTCCTCCGTTTGGATAATTACATGCTAATCATAAGCATTATGATTCTTATGTCAATACAAGTTGAAGATCCTGCTGTTTATTGAAAAATCTGGTACAGATCTAGTATTTTTTTTTTTTATTCAGGTGGATACCATGTTAAAGATGGGTTTCCAGCAGCAAGTGTTGGATATTTTGGAGAACATCTCTCATGATCATCAAACCATACTGGTGTCGGCCACAATTCCAGTGGGGATTGAACACTTAGCAAATCAGCTTCTGCACAATTTTGTAAGAATAATAATCGGAGAAAAGAATCTGCCATGTTCTAATGTTCGCCAAATTATCTTGTGGGTGGAAGAACCATCTAAAAAGAAAAAACTGTTTGAAATACTAAATGTAAGTATGTTTTTATCATAAAAGCAACTTGCCAAATTATTCATGTGTCTTTACACACCTGTGTGAAGTTCTCACCTTTGATTCTAATCTGTGTGTAGTGAAAAGGTGGAGTGACGTT